GTATCCAATGGGGTGGGTATATAAAGGACACAGGAGTTTTAACTGAATTCTATTTCCTTTCAAACCACCTAGCAAATTACCATATGCCAGACGTTGAGTTTTATATACTCTGGGATATGCAAATATAAAGTCAAAAGAAATGGTCTTAAACCTTGAAGATCTCACATCTAGTTTCGAAAATAAACACAATTGTAATATAACAGTTGTGTGAGAAGAGATTGTAAAGGCGCTAAAGAAACCTAGGTGAAGAAGCTCTTTATAATATACATACAAGCGACATGATATAAACGAAGCAGACTGTGTTTATATGTATAGATACATATATGTAATAACAATAAAAAAGAGGTCATGAATTTTAAAAACGAACAAGGAGGTGTATATGGGAGAGTTCAGAGGGAAGAAAGGAAAGGGGAAATGGTGTAATTATATTATCATCTCGATAAAAGATAGTTTTTACAAAGAAGCTATTCATTTTTGGCCAAGGGGGAGAAGCAGAGAAGCAACCCCCCCCCCAACCCAAGCGACATTAGCTGTGGTTTGGATGAATGTCGAACAATAGCCCATGTGGTAAGGTTTGGTCTTCAGCTCATGGTGCTAATGAGAGCTGGTGGAACTTTTGAGCAGTGGGTCACTGAGTCTTAAGGGTATGCTTTTATAAGGGACCCTGGTCTCACCTTCTTTCTCTTTGTTTTTCACCTCACAAGGTGAGCATTTTCCCTGACACATGCTTCAGCCATGATCTGCTGCTCACCACTGGTCTAAAACAATGACGCCTTTGATGGCAGAGCCTCCAAGACCGTAGAATAGAATAACTCCTGCCCCTCAGTAAGCTGACTAATACAGCATTCCCCCTGACTCTTGAGCAAGGAATATCTGCCATTTGTTAGAGGGACAGAATAAAGTGAAGGGGAGAGAGAACTCTGGAAAGAAGAAACAATATGACTGTACAGTGTAGATGAGTTGATTGTGGACCGGGATCAGTGACGTGATTCGATGCGATTAAAGTTCAGGTTGCAAAAGATAATGATACTGAGACCAGAGGCATGTTGGCTTGACCTGCCCTATTGCAATGTGATATAAAAATGTGTGTTCAGTTTTAAGGACGTGATGGGCTGAATTATGTCCCCTTGAATATTTATGATAAATATACTGTATTTAGACACAGAACCTTAGGGTAGCAATAAAGATTAAAAGGAGTTATAAAGTACAAGTAATGGAACAGTAAGATTAGAGGCACTTTAAGAAGAAAGTCCCAAAGCCAAAGAAAGGCCAAGTAAGAACAGAACAAGAGCATGGCTTGCTACAATGCAGGAAAGAGACTTTCACCAGAATCTGACCATGTTGGTGCCTTGGCATTGGACCACAGCCTTCAGAACTGTGAGGCAAGAACATCCTATTGTTTAAGTCATCGTTCTGAAAGATTTGTTATAGCCTCCTAAGCAGACTATGTTGGCTATTTTCTGCATTTTTAAACATGACGAGATAATACAGAATGAATTTCAAGTATATTTTTGTGGTAGAACAGCAGGTTTGACAGGGGAGGTACCTGTTTGTCTGGGGACTGGACCACAAGGAGATAGACATGAAAGACGCTGGGCCTTGTGCTGAGGAGTTTGATGTTGGAATAGGACATTCATTGCTAGCATGGAAAGAGAAAAGTGGTGGCTGTGTGTCTGGTGTGTGTGTTTTAAAGTTTTATATTCACATAAACTCATGCAACTTTGCACATTATAATTTGCATATCTTATAAATGGAAGTTATCATTTCCTTTTATTATGTGAAGATGGAAAAGAGGAAAGAAGGAGGAAGGGAGGGAAGGGAGAAAAAAGAAAGGAAGGAAGGAAAATGTGTGTGTGTATGAAACAGAAAAGAGAAAGTTTTTATATAGAAAGAAAGCTCATGGGGACTTCATGTAAAATGCTGCTATTCCCTCAGTTGCATGAAAGTTGATTAATTTATAACATAGACTTGGGGGCGTGAAAATAATAGAGAAAAAGAATAAATTCAGTATAATTTCTCTGAGTTTGAATACCAAAAATTAGTCATATAACAGGAATTTCATTTTGTCTTCCAATATTTTCTACATAATTAGCCTGTTCATGTACACAAAAAGAGCACATGGCATATTCCAAAATGACACCATACCTGTTCCAAGCTCTGAATAAAGATGCTGAGGCTTTTCCTCACTCTGTCCCTGGAGCTTGGATGCAGGTCTTGGCCTGTGTACTCAGCTAGCATTGAGAAAAAGCTTTGGGCACCACCACCTCCTTTTATAATATCCCCTATCTTTCCTTCCCTGTAAGGTATACACCCTTTGGACCTTTGCTATGGGAGATAAGGCTTCTCCATATGAACTGAATACCCAGTGCCCTGAATACGTGAGTGTGTCAAGGCTAAGCAGGTCTATTGTTCTTAAACAGCACTGCCAGAGAATCGTATTCTTGTGCAGAATGATGCTGAAGAGATAAAAATATCTTTCATTTCTATAGTGCCATGCATCTTAAAGTGTGCTCCACATTTCACAGCCTATATATAGGCTCAATTCATTACCCATCCCCATAAAATACAGCCAGAGCGTGGCAGGCACATGCCAGATGTTTGACAATGGTCTAATAACGGAGGGAGGATGAAGTTAAATTGAATTTAGTAAACAGGAAGCAAGATGTGGGCCACTAGGTAAAGCTTTGCTATTCATTCCACCGTGTGTTTGGTGTTTCTTGCCTACCAGAAGGAGAGCAGAGACACAAGTCAACTGGAGTGACACTCTCCCTACACTCGCGGAGCAGCCAGGGTGTCAGAGAAAATAGACTTCGCAGTAAAATGTGACGCATGCTAAGATGGAGTGCAAAGTGATGTGGTCTCCTCAGCAGTTAAAGGAATTCTTTTCCCATCAGCCACATCGCCATCATCATTCTCTTGTGTTAATAAAGGGTTTGCGTGCGCCATAATGATAGGATTTATCCTGGAATCCAGAAGCTAGACGTCATGTGAGCATGGTTGGGGGACAGAAGGCAATGAGGGAAACACATAAGCAAGCTGTGGACTCCGAGTAGAATGCCTATGGGGGAAAGTTGAGAGGCAGGGAATCGGAGGGGCCCCAGGAGATCTCACAGTTGCTGCTGACTTCTCGGGGATGGGCCCCTGAAAAATAATTGACCCAAACACGGAGACCATGGGAGAGAGTGTTGTAAATCTTTCTGTGTTGAGAACTGTGGCCTCTGGAAAACAGAAGGGTTTTAGGTTAGAGGAGGATCTCAGAGATCAGACTAGTCATTTTATGCATGAAGAAGTCATACTCACGTCCCTTACATATGTATAGCAGTTAGCAGTGTCCGGGCCAGAAACTGAGCCAGAGAACATGCTGGACAATGACCCACCCTGCTAGACCTAATCTTGGTTGAATCAGGGAGGCAGACGCCCTGTGCTTTGGAAGATTCTCTAAAAAGCTGAACACCGGATTCCTCAGGCCCTATCCACTACAACGGAAAGACCAACCACAGTGAACAGGGGTTAAGGTCTTATAATCCACCTACACCGATGTGAGCAAGAAATGTGGCTCAGAGAAATGAAAAAGAAATAGGCTAGAAGATTGTCCCTGCCCGGGTCAGATGGCTGCCACCCAGAGAGAGCCTCTGCAAACCATTTGGTTTCTGGGGCTGCACATAGTCTCCAGGCCTTATTAACTCCTCTAGGCATGGAGAGTCAGCTTACTCTGAACTCCCAGTGGGGACCCATTCGAAATGTGTTAAACCTCTGGGCAAGGTTTCCACCAGAACAAGCAGAACGTGCAAAAATCAAAAGAAGAGCGCGGTTTATAATGTATCTGCACAGCTACAGCAAAGATGCCATGAGCTGGGAATTCTGTGCCAGCGCTGCTGACTTCTAAGGAAGCCACTCCTTCCCCTTAAGGGTTCTAAGTGTGCACATGAGCCCATTAAGACGGTGTGTGCTGGGGGGACAGAAAAGCAGAGGCTCTGCCCTAGAAGATGCCCTGGTCTGGCATGTTTCAGCTTTGCAGTCTCCTGCAGGCCTTAGGCAAGTTAACCGGATCCCATGGAGAAAGGATGGTCTGTGATAGATGACCTTCAGTGTAATTTCTGTCTTTTTAAAAGGCCAGTATGGCTTTCTGTGGGTGCACACCTATGAATATCTCTCCCCCAAGTAAAGGATAAACTTTCCAAGAAGTGGGGTTCATTTACTCTTTACTCGTTACATCCTTAAAAACTCCAAACAAGCCTTTGCAGAAAAAAAAAAAAAACAGGCAATAATAAATTTTCTTGGCAGTGGATTGAGAGCCACAAAGTCATGAAAAGGTGGGCACTGGGGCAGGGATAAGCCTGAGTCTGTAGGGTCTCCTTGAAGGCCAGCCTGCTCAGAACCTAGAACAATAGTGCTCTCCTTTAATTTCAGAAAGAAAAAAAGAAAAAAACCTTGAATACATGCTCACTGCCAGAGAGCATGGATTGGTAGCTATCTGGTGTGGCTTGGTCCTTCTGCAACTTCTTGGGCAGTAGGCAGCAAGTAGTGCAACCAGTGTTCTCTGTGGGCGCCCAGCTGCCTGCGGCTCTCTGGAAGATCTCCCTCCTCTTTGCCCCGCAGGAGAGAAACGTGGAGGTGGCCAGGTGGGTGGGGGTTCAAATGACTTGGCCTTAAAGGCCTGGGGAAGGGGTCTGGACCTAATGAAATTCCCCCTCCCAGACTAGAAGCCTGGAGAAGAAAGGCTGGAGAGGGTGCCACCTGCTGGTGAGGGGCCAAGCCTTGCAAAGTGGACGCCAAGGAGACCTGTGCTTTGAAAGCTGAATTGGGGCAGCTTCCCAAGTTGCTGGTTTTCTGCTGTCTCTTGAAGGCTACTAGCTCCGTAGGGTGTGTGCTCTGAGACCCGCCCCCCCCCCAATCCTGCGTGTCACTCCCTTAGATGGTGAGGTTGCCTGCAGGGATGGTGCTCTTTCTCCCTGCATCCCCTGGACCCGCACTCTGGGGCTAAGGACTCTCCGCGCTTCTCCATCAGGTGGAGCCGTCCTCTCGCCGCCTGCCTCCCTCCTCCCTCGCAGCGAACTGCCAGCAGGCCATCCTGCATCGCCGAGAGGTTAACCGAGCCCCCGGAGGAGGTGAGACAGCCAGCCCGCGTGGGCGGAGATGGCGGGGCCACCGTCGGGGCTGGCGCCAGTGCCCGGCAGCCTGTGGGTCCTGCAGGTACCGCTTGCGTTCTCTCTGCCCCACGTGGTGGCCGCGGAAGATTGCCGTTGGTTTTCCAGCACTCAGGGATGAAACGCCTCCTGGTCCTTTTAGAGGCAGGCAGCTGATTACTTAATCCAAGCCTTTTTCCTATCTGCGGGAGACCGGAGGCTGCGATGGGAGAGGGGTGTGTGTGTGTGTGTGTGTGTGTGTGTGTGTGTGTGTGTGTGTGTGTGTGTATGTGGGAGAGGTGTGTGTGTGTGTGTGTGTGTGCGCGCGCGCGCGCGCGCGCGCGCTCACAGACCTAACTGGCTGGAAAAGGGGAAGTGCGAAACCAGCTTGAGAGTCCTGAGGTGGATCTTGGGGACTAGTGCCAAAGGAAAGCATGGTCCTCCCAACCTTGGACTCCCACTCCCCTCTTCCCAAGAGTGAGTTTTTTTTGCCAGAGTGGTGCACATACACTGCTATGTGTATCTGTTGACCGGCCCTGTATTGCACACTTCACTAGCCTCATGACCCTGTTTCCCCCAGAGGGGCTGAATTAAGCAAACCTGGGCCGCGGGCCATTTAGAAGCTTGCAAAGAAAATTAACCAACAACTGAGAGGATAAATCTTTAGTTAAAATATCAGATGCTGTCTGGGCAGGCACATTCCTTCTACATCCTAACAGTTTCACTCGCTGCATGGTTTGCCCTTTGAAGCTGGACTCAGACCTTTCATCTCCCCTGGCCCTGAATATTTAGTGGAAAACGACTACTGATGTACAGCACTATACATACCAAATGTTCACCCTTCATATGCTATATGGCACATAGTGCTAGGGGTTATTATCCATCTTTTGTGAGTTTCTGATTTACCTCTTCTGTTTTATTGCATTATCTCTTGTGCCAAGCTAATGGACCAAGGCCATCATAACGTTGCTTTGCTAATTTAGCTGATGGTGTTGTCCCTGTTATTCAGCATCTTTCCCCCCACCCCACCCACAGACACACACACACACACTCACACACACGTGCACACATTCAAACCAGCTTTCTTAGAGATCTCCCTCTGATATGTTTAACAGCCTCCAAAAGATGTGGTTAAATAAACTATTATGTTAAGAATGGAAAAGTCAACAAAGCTTACACCTACTAATTTCTAGATCTTGGCTGTCAGCTACCAGGTGTCAGCTCCAAGCAGTACACATTTTATGCCTGTGCCCCTGCCTCTTTCTTTGTTGTTCATAGATTCTAAGATCCGTATTTTTTGAGTTAACATCCACGTGGAAACTTAGAGTGTGCCTTGCTGTCAGCAAAGTGTGCCCCCCAAAACCCCATATTTGTAGTACTGATGGAAGGGTAAGAGATTCCTAAAAGGACTCCCTAAGGTCCAAAGACTGCAGAAAGTTATGATTGATTTTATAATTGAATATTGAATGGCACACATTGAGAGAGCACCTTTCATTTTCCCTTCAGTCCCCCTTCACTCACTCTATATGATGTTACATTTTTTTTTATGTGTTGCTTTGTAAGACACTTATAGTTTGTGCCTGGGTGTGCTCCACTTCCACTTTGGATCATAAACTCCTGGAGGCATGGTCTATTTTACTTCCCCCCATGGCCTGCTTATTCTAGGCATGCCTAAATGTCTAGCAAGTAAATAGACCTAGATAAATTCGTGTTGATATCCTGGAGGAAATGGAGTTTGATTTGAGTGTGGGTTTCACCACAGGTAAAAGACTTTGCAGGTTCTCAAGAAACGGTTGCCTGTGACCTTGGCCTCTCCTTCGCAATCAGACTCAGCACACCTTTTGGAGAAAAGGCATGCTTGGAGTGATGGAGTGCTCATTAGGGGAGAGGCTCCACATGCAAAGACGGACTGCTCCCTGTCCTTGTTAGGGAAGACACAGGCCGGGATAATAATAATAAATAGGTATCTGTCACAAACCTGCCTGCGTTAGCTCTTGCTTCTGTATTTTGTTTTCTAAGAGCGGTGCAAAGCAAACTAAAATCCAAACACTTAGAGATTATCAATTCCCCGCGCGCGCACACACACACACACACATACACACACACACACACACACACACCAGGAAAGTCCCCAAATGCAAAGCATACTTTTCTCTTCAACTCCCTCCTGGCACACACATTGGCTAAGTCCTTTCTGGGAAAAGATGTACCCATCCTGGCCTCTCCCTACTTCCTTTTAGCCCAGATGCCAGTCCCTCGTGCAACAGCAAGGCAGGCACATTTTGATGCATGGGCATGAGTCTAATCATCGGTAACTTCACTCCCGTTTAACAACATAACATCGTGTGAACAAAAAGTCACAGCTCCGCTCCGTGCTCACTATGCGTTCTGGTCAATAATGGTAACAAAAGCTGAATATCCCCTGTTTAGGGGAAAGAAGGAAAGCAACGCTTCTCTGCAACCCTCCCGTTTTGCAAAGCGTTCCCCTTTCCAAGTGTTTCCTCTTTAATTATGACCTGTTTCCCCTCCCTCTTTCCCCCGCCCCAGCTTCTGTGAAAGGAGCCCTTCTGTCACTCGTCACTCGCTAGCTCGCTTGCTCGCTCGCTCTCTGTGGGAGGAGCCCGCCAGAGGAAGCCGTGTGCCTGGGATGCCAAGAGCCAGAGAATGGATCTGCTCCGAGTGGGGACATTGCTGAGGATCCTGGCTTCCCGAGGAGGCTGAAAACAAGCGTTGGTTTCGACTGCCTGCAGATAGCCGAGACACAACAAGACCGAAGCGGACCGGAGGAGGGACGGACCGACGGACAGATAGATGGTCGGCAGGAACCCGGGAGGACCGGCGGCGGAGGCTGAGCACCGCGAGCCCAGCCGCCTCGCTTGAAGAGAACTAACTGCACGCCCAAGTTGCCCCGCCGGCTGCCCGCGCGCTGAGGAATGAGACCTTTCCAGCTGGATTTGCTCTTCCTCTGCTTCTTCCTCTTCAGTCAAGGTAGGAACCGGGCGCGCCGGAGTTGGAGCAAAGTCGGCGGCGGCGGCGGCGGTGGCGGCGGGGGCGCGGGAGTCAGAGGGCTGGGAGGTGGGTAGGCTCGGGAGCTGGCTCTGGCGGTGGGTCTCCGTGCCGGGCCAGAGGCAGTAAGTAGCGTCGCTTCTTTGCTTTTGCAAATGCAACAAAATGGTACTGTTGGTTTCCCTTCAGAAGGAAGGGGCTGGGAGGACAGGGGGCGGCTGCACTTTCTCCTCTCTCTTGTCCATGTCCAACTTAAACTCTCAGATGCAGATGAGTTCTTTATGCACCCGGTATGTTAATTAGGTAGTAGCCTGTGGCCAAGCCATTCGGAACTTCTGGGTGCCTGCTCGCCTTCACAGCCAGGTTGGAGAAGGGGTGCCTGGCGTAGGTGGATTTCAGCTCCAATAGGTCTAACTTGCCCGAGTGTGTTTAAAGCAAATGTGTGAGGTTTGCACAGTTTGCAGAAAGGGATGCGATTAACGGAACGTTCCGAGGCGGGTGTTTGCAGTGACTGGGGGAAAGAAAGCTTGTAAAGAGTTTCATTGAATGTCACCCGTTTCCCTGAGCAAGGCTGAATTCTGAATCCCACTGAGCACTGGATTCTGTGTATGAAATGGAATTTCGCCCCTGGTGCTGATTGCTTCCTTTCTGCAGCCTAGCAGGTGGACTCCCCAGAAAGAACTTGGCTACCTCTGGGCTCCTTGCCACTAAGAGTCATGGGGCTGGCCATGGTGGAGGGAGAGAAGAACTAAGTGCCTACATAGCTAAAGGCATCAACAGTCACCTGTGGAATTGAGATTGAAGGGGCCAAGTAAACCGGTTCCTTCCCACTCTTTTGGAATGCCAATGCCGCCTCTGCCATCTGAGGCAGCATTTGTGCCAGCCAGCACAGCTCTTGGAGGGACAGGACTCTCAGAAAAAAAAAAATCCACAACAGAGAACGTCCATCTGTTGATTAAATGAAGGGTAAAAGTTTTCGAGAAAGCATGAACATCACCATGGGTGGCTGCCTTTGCAAGCAAACAGCTTGTATTCCTTGCTTCTCTCCTCAGGAGAAGGCAAATATAAGTAAAGCCAGGCTTCCCTCTCTCTTTCCCCGGTCCTTGTTGTCACTGTAGATTTCCCCCTTATTCATTCAGGTCAAACTTTGCAGTCATCCCTCCTGATTAAACTTGCGGGGCCCCTTCCCCTAGGAGTATGTGTAAATCATGTCTATGCAGATTTATAATGAGTTTGTATACACATTCATAGGAATCCCTAGAGCATCTTGAAGATAAATAGCCCTTCTACAAGTTTTCAGGCTGGATGAAGAAGAGCCATCCCAGAATCCTGGTACAGAGACATATTTGGTGGTATTACCACTGGGATGTGTGCATGCTTGCATATGAACATTCACACACATACACACATACACTGACTCCCTGACTCCCTTTCTCCTTTGCCTCTTAACTAAATTTCTTGGGAAGTTTCCTATAGACAAGAAGGGACCTCACACACACACACACACACGCACACATAACGCATGCAACTCAAGCAAGTTTTTGTCAGTCTTTTGTATTTTTAGAAGCTTGGCCAGTGCTTCCTCAGATTGGCATAAGAAGCCTATAGATGTCTAAGTGCTTCCCTGCCTGTCTGCATCATTACAGAGTGTGTTTTCTACTGTGCTCATTCTTTTCTCAGTACCAAGCTATTTCTTTACTGCCTCATATGAATCTTTAAATGTTTACCTACTGAGGGTAAATGCTTTGTTTTGTTCATTCTTAGCCCCAGGGGCAGTAGAAAGAAGCCACAGCCCCATGCAATTGAATCATCTTCTTATTCTTGGTCTTCCCAAGCTTGGCTTGCAACATCCCACGGTGGGTGTGTAGTCCACGGAATTCCACATCAGCCTCAAGAAGATTCAGAGAACAAAGTAGACCCAGACAATCTGAGGAGCCTCCTGCTCTGAGCACTAGGAATCGTGAATATAGGAGCATCACCATAGCAGTTAGGAGGGAAGATGTTTGACTGGTTCATTGTAATGCCATATCGAGATCTTTTGACTTGATTCCTGAACATTTGCAATGTCCCTCATATGACATTTCTCTATTTGTGTGTGCCTGCTCTCAGGCAGGGGTACACACGGGGGCATATGTGCAGAGGTCAGAGGACAACTTGCAGGGCTAGTACTCTTCTTCCACCATGTAGATCCTGGGAGTGAAATTCTGTTCATCACCTTGGTGGCAAGCATGTTCACCCATTGAGTCATCTCTCTAGCCCTAATGAACATCTTTAAACATGTGAGTGTTGTTTGGAGTGTTGTAAGTTCCCCCCAGAAGATCCCATCTGACTCTCAATATATATCCTAGTGCCATGCTGTACCTACTATCACATACTGGTTAACTTATTAGATCGAGCAGTTCCACCTTCAACGGGACATGAAATGACTACTAGCCCGTATGGTTCTAGACGGCCCCTGTTGTGATTTTTCTAGCCCAAGAGTGAGGTCACAACCACAACTGACACACCTCCACACACAGGGAACTTGCCTGGACACTGCCTCCTACACTCGGAGACTTCTGGATGCTCTGCCACAGAAATGCATAAAGGGTCAGGACAGTCCTTCACTGGGAGGGAATGAGGAGTCAAGGATCTCGTTAGGGCCTTATCTAGCATGCTGATGACAGGGCCATCTGCTACCCAGCACTTCTCCCAGTGGGAACCCGTGTGTCTTCTTGGAGTTCTGGGGACGCAGTTCTCACACTCTCATTCCCAGAATCCAGATCCCCCACCATGTTGTAAAGTTTTCATTAGCATTTGGTTAAATTCCTAGAGTTTCCCTTCTGATCTGTTGACTGTGAGTCTCCCTGAGAGAGGACAGAATAGTTAATGTCAGTAATATTTCTGGCTCTTTCTCTTAAAGTTTGGACTTTTTATGTACACTGATACCAAGTATTTCTTTCTTTCTTAAGGTGGCAGTAGAAAGGGACAGTCCCGTGTTCCCGCCCTGTCAATGTCTCTGGGCTTGGCTCATGCTAGGGCATGGAAAGCTGCCAGCATATGCTGTTGGTGGGTTGCTCTCTTGCTGTAGAGGCCTCTCCCCCTCAGCTGTCAGGGTGGCCGTGCTTTGTATAGAGAAGGATAATGTCACAGCACAATTTACCTCCTGCAGAGAAACGGTATGTTCTGCCCCTGGGTGAAGAAGAATCGATTCCCTTGTCATCCAGATACTTAGAACTGGCTACATTTCCCCCTTTATCATTTCAGTTCACCACAACTACTTCCTTCGATGCCTTCCTTAATCTTCCAGCCTCGTTCCATCTACCCTGCACGGGCACCTCTTAGGCAACTTTGAAGGAATAGGGTCTCAGCAGGACTGGAGACTCCCTGCTTCGCTTGCATCTTATGTTCTGAGTCAGTGTTGGCAGCGTGCGGTGGGGCAGACACAGTAGCTTCCACTGCACATGCTTCAGGAAAAGTGTCCCCCCCCCCCAATGCAATGGCATTTCCAGACTGTCCTGTCCTACCCAGTGATGGGATGGTCACCGGATTTCAACTCTGCCCAACCCAAAAGGTGTGTTTGCTTTGCCTGTGCTTCTTGATGTTCTGAACATTTAGAGTAAAAAGAAACTCACATTTTCCCTGTGGGGGCATCTCCTAGCTGAAGATCAATCTAGGATCCATCTCCTTAATAGACCTTGCTCTCTTGATTATCTGGACACATCAGAAGGAGAACCAGGTAGCCATTGGATGGCAGAGTTGCAAGACAACCTGAATCTCCAAGGAAACAGAAAAGCTTCAAGCAGATAGGGGGTGAACGGAGTGGGTGGGGGAGAACTGGCCTTGGTGCACGAGCCATGGGGGTGATAGGAAGCATGGAGGGAGAGAGGCCACTGTGAGAAGCTTGAGTTTGTCAAGCGCTCTCGTGGGGAAGAGAAAGAAAAGAAAGAGCTTGGGTAAAGAGCACAAACCTGTCAGCGGGTGCCCCCAAAATAAAGGTGCGAAGGGAGGTTCAGGCAAGGGGAGAGCAGAAGAAGAACATGCAAGTAAGCAACACTAGGAATACTTGTCCTTACCCAGAAATGTCCTAGCGCCATGAGGCAAATGAGGAGTAGGAACCCCCACCCCTGCTGCTGGCGTCCCAGCGACATGACATCCAGGGGAGGAAGAATCACTTCTTTTATTTTGGAAACTCCGAGCACCACTGCCAAGGATGTGGGACTACTCCTTTAACAAGCCTCTGGGTGCAGGAATGGAGCATGCCTATAGGGATGATGTGGATGGCTTCAGTGGCTGCTGCCCAACAGGGAGCCCCGAGAGCTATTGAGGATAGAAAAGAAACGCCCCAGGGGCACGAGGGTGTGGGTGGGGTCAGCATCGGAGCATGGCACTGGGAGGATGCCATGGGTACAGGAAGGAAGATCTGACTCAGAAAAGCAGCAGTGAGCTAGGCATGGTACCAAGGAGCAGCCCTGCCTGGTGTGTGTGCCTCTGTTGGTAGAAGCCAGGGCCAGCAGGAGACGGGGTGGAGCCAGGGATTAGGCCTGAAGATGCAATTTTTCATTTTTGTTTAGCCCAGTGGGGGTGACTTAGGCAGTATTATATTGCAGACCCAAAAAAAGCACATGAATAATCCAGAGTGAATTCAAGAGATTTCAATAGCAAAATAATAACAATACTAATGATACCTTTGATTTGTGGAGTACTTTTCTTCCAAGGAGATAAAAAAGATAAACTGTTTTGGAAACAGGAACGAGGAAAAATAAAATTGCCTTTGATGGAGGAGTGGAGAGAAAGGCCAAGAATACTTTTTTTTTTAGGGTCTTAATGGAGATGGGGCTGATGGGAGGAGCAAAGTGGGCATGCATGTGACCTCAGCAGCAACCAGTCCTTATCCTTAGACGTCTTATATGTCGAGATGATTTCCAGGTGGAAAAACAGTTCATATATCTTTAAAATTGGGGTCAATTAAGAGACAGAGAGGCCCTGAAGGTGACCTGTGC